TCACGGAAGTAGATTGGAGTGTGAGTGTGCGGGTGCCTTCTGGGATGGTCCCAGGCAATGCAGCTTGTCTTGCCTGTTTGAGAGAAGGGCGAGATGGAGGACAGGTGAGCTGGAGAGCCACAACGCTCCCCCGGGCGTGCTGAAATGCACCTTGAAATGCAGGGCTGCACCCTGGGCAGGTTGAAGCCCATCCTTCATTGTCTCCTGGAAGAATAGTGTTTAGGAAACACCGTGTTGGCAGGAAAGGCAGAGCAGGAGAGGCTGAATAGAGGGATTTCCCTTCTGGGGGTCCCCTCCTTTCCGTCAGGATGGGGGCAGACGGGGCGGCTTGGCAGTGGAGGTGAGGTCACTATGCGACACTATGCGAAAGGTTAGCTCGTCTTCCTGCGAGCTGCGCCAGGCATGTTGTCATAAACACCTCAGCCTTAACATAGCAGGACGTCTCACTGAGATCTGGGTACATTTCCCCAGAGACCCCAACAGGGCCGTCTTCCTGGAAAGCCAATGAGAGCGTCAGTGGATACCATGAGACCTCTTGTTATGTCATGTTCCGTTTTTGACATTCCACTCTGTTGCCCCTGTCTGCTGGCTCTTAGACGGTCGATGTATTCTCTGCATTTTGGCCTCTTGGGCTATATTAGGTTACTGCATATCAACTGTGAATCTGGGCCGTTAGCCACTTAGAGATTCAGCCAAATGTATTATCATATCCACGGTGCTTACATGAGAACCATGGATATTACCCAAGGATATCTAGAACTGGGGCCTGTTTCACGAAGCAGGATTACTTGCTTAGCCAGATTACTTGCCAGATTTAAGGTAGTCTGGGCTAAATAGACCTTATTTTCATCAACTTACATTTAGCCCAGACTACCTTAAATCTGGCAAGTAATCTGGCTAAGCAAGTAATCCTGCTTCGTGAAACAGGCCCCTGACACTGGTTAAGCTTTGTGTACAGTAACAGTATCCAGCAGGAGCTTCTGTTTGGTGGATATGATGGTTGCACTTTGATGATTTAGTGGCAGGTTTTCTAGATTTGATCTTTTGGTTGGGAGGTTTCAGCTGAAAGTTGGCATGGAGCGCTCGGTGTGGATTGGTGCCTCTCGTGCATATGGTCTTTATCTCGAGTTAATCCACGTCCATCTATGATGGGAACGTCAGGTGCACGGCTCCCGGCAGCAGCAGAAGAAAGAGATCAAAGGGGACGAATCGGCTTCGGTGTGAGAAGACGATCAGAGGCTGCGACCGTGACCCAAGTCAGGGTTCACTGCCTGGGTGTGTTTACATGTGTAAATGCCCGCATGTTGGTGAAAGCGAGAGAGAGCAGAGGAGTGTATTGTTTTTCTGGCTCAGACGTGTGCATGTGTTCGTATCCATATGTTTGTCTGAGTAGGATGTGTTGATGCTTTTATTCGCCGTATGTATGAGTACGAGTACATTGGAATGCTTCTTCTCACACGTCTTCTTGTCCTTCGAGACATGCACACACACATATATACAGTTTAGAATTAAGCCTGGTAACAGTGCTCAGGGTCAGGCCGTTTATCCAGCAACCATGGAGCATTTTGGGGGGGTCGAGGGCCTTGCTCAAGAGCCCAACAGAGACATGAACCAGCGACCTTCTGATCACAGCTAACTCGCTGAGCCGCATACCACTCCCCTTCGGGGACATATGTCCACATGCACATAGGAAATTCTGGAAAATAAGATGGAAAAGGAAGCGGTTCCTCTCAGAGGCTTGTGTGTGTCTGATTACGTCGGGGTCATTACACTTACAGAAGACTGATCTAGTGCCTCTAGTCCCCATCAGCAGCTCCAGCTTCTCTGGACCCACTTGTCTAGTCACACTCACTCATTCCCTGTAGCCAGTAATGAGAATCGTTACCCCAGGATGTTTCCATGCGCAACAATCAATACCCAGTGCATTATGGGAGCTGTGCAGGGTGGCCGTCTATCCCCAGGCGAGGATGAACAGGCCAGAGACGGCAAACATTGAGGCTTTTCATTAATATTTTGACTGTTGCCTTTGTTGTTTTAGTCTGGAGCATTTATGCAGCATTTAACTTGCAGCATGGAGCTATAGCCAGGAACTAGCAAGAAGCTAAAATCTAATATTAGCTTTCATGTAATATTGGGCCAAAGTGTTGCCAGATGGATTTTGATGATGCTCAGCGTGTTTCTGATGTCAGGGTAAGGAGCTACGCACTACAATGGCTGAACAATGAGATTCGTCACCAGATTCTTTTAGGGGGGGGGGGGGGGGGGATGGTTCGCAACAGAAGCTCTACTCCAGACGACAGACAGCACTACAACTGCTGGTAATTTATATTAGTTTACTTTACATTAGCTTGGCTTAGCAGTCTTGTGAGGTTTGTGTCCCATCCGTGTTCTACCACAGTAGCTGGGCTGTTTGTGGAGCAGCAACCCTCACTTTGGGGGGGGGGGGGGCTCCGCGAGGCAGGGTTTTTCAGGTAGCTGGGTTAACCTAAGCTAGAAGTATTATTTAATACTCATGACTTCTAGCTCAGGTTAAGCCGTCTAACTGAGACCTCCTGCTTTGTGGAACACCCTCCAGGTCAGGTCAGGAGGAGTCAGATGTGATGGGTTAGATCAGGGGTCTCCAACTCTGGTCCTGGAGAGGTACTATCCAGTAGGTGTTCTATCCTACCTGGCTTCTGATGAACCACAACAGTTCTCAGGTAAATACCAGGAGCAGGTGTGGCTCATCAGAAGCCCAGTAGGACAGCAAACCTACTGGATAGTAGCTCTCCAGGACCGGAGTTGGAGACCTCTAGGTTAGATGCTCCCTGCTGGTTGAGTGGTACAGCCTGGGAGTCTCTCCGCCTCTGGGTATACAGAGCTGTAACAGAGGGAATCGCTAAGGCTGAGAAACAGCCTTGTTGCTGGGTAAAGGGCCGTGAGGCAGCCAGGAATGTGTTATGAATGGAGCCGGTCTCGGGACAGCGTGTGCCAGCAAGTCCCTGCGTGTGACGCTCGTTTGCATGAAATCGAACGATCCACTCTAATTGGTACTGAGCTGAGCCGGATCAGAGGGAATACTGGGCTGTATATAAGCTGAAGTGGCTGAAGGTGTTTGGATGTGATTTCAGACGATGACCCCTAATTGGCAGGAGCCTGAGGCATAGCAGGTGACTGATAACTGTGCAAACTAGGGCAGGTGAATTTGTGGGGGCCATGGGGAATGATCCTATAGCCCAGCAAGCAGCGCTTTGCACTGATGATTCAAAGGTTGTGGGTTCAAATTCCAGGGAGCACACACAAATTGATACCGTTCCCTCTACTGTTAGTTGCTTTTCTCCAAAAGCATCAGATAAATGTAAATGATACGATAGGCCCCTTGTTGATCGGGTTTATGGGATGTTTGCAAATCCTAAAATGAGGATGATCTTGATGCTAATGAGTTTTTGGCTAGAAAAGAGTGTTAGCTGTGCTTGGCTTCTATGTACTGCTAGAGAGGGCCGTTTTGCTTTTCCTGCCGATGGATGCCAGGTCCCTGGTCGGTGTGAGTCCTTAAAGATATCTGGTGAACGTCAAGGCCTCTTATGGAGGACCTCTTCGTTGTCAGAGCAGAACAGTTCCCCGGTGTAGTCGGGCGTAATTTAAGTAATTCTCAGCTGTATTGACTGCAGCCCTAGGAACCTTGGATTGTTTTGGGCCTCCATTTGTTTGTTGATTGGTAGGAGTAAACACCCCTGAAGGAAGGGGGGAGATTTTACCCTGACTTTTTTTGGACCAGGCCTGGATTACCCCCAGGAAACTGGGATTTACAGCACTTGGCAACTCTCATCAAGATGGTACCTGGGCTTTAGCTGGGTCAGCTTGTAGCTCATGGGAATTTTACTTACACAAAAATGCTATGAGGGCAGAAGGAACAATGATTGGTTTAGAGAGATGTCCAATCATATTGCTGAGGAGGTGGGTCCAAGCAACTGGAGGAGGTGGAACCAACCAGTCAAATGTCTGGGTCCCGCCTCCCCTTCATGCTTGGATCCACCTCCTCTAGAATCCAGTTGATTATCTCTCTGAACCAATCATTTTTTTATTCTGCCCTCAGAACATTTTTGTGTAAGTAAAACTCCATAAGCCAGCTGCTATGCTTCTATGACCAGGCCAGGACTCTACCTCCAGTTTCCTAAGCACAGATGAGGGGTGTGAAAAGTATTTGAGGGGGGATTTTTGAAATCATGGAGTATCTGTATATTCTAGTTGTTCATCTATTAAATATAGTATTTATGTTTGCTTATCGCAGCTATGTTATGCACAGCCTACAAAATCATTTTCTGCACAGGAAACTGAACAACATAATTTGCCCTGTGGGTCTTTCTGCAGTAAATGATGTACATGCCAATGGTTTACATGTCAGTGGTTTACATGTCAGTGGTTTACATGTCAGTGGTTTACATGCCAATGGTTTACATGTCAATGGTTTACATGTCAGTGGTTTACATGCAAATGGTTTACATGTGTCAGTGGTTTACATGCCAATGGTTTACATGTCAATGGTTTACATGTCAATGGTTTACATGCCAATGGTTTACATGTGTCAGTGGTTTACATGCCAATGGTTTACATGTGTCAGTGGTTTACATGCCAGTGGTTAACATGTCAATGGTTTACATGTCAATGGTTTACATGTCAGTGGTTTACATGTCAATGGTTTACATGTCAATGGTTTACATGCCAATGGTTTACATGCCAGTGGTTTACATGCCAGTGGTTTACATGTCAGTGGGTTACATGTCAATGGTTTACATGTGTCAGTGGTTTACATGCCAGTGGTTTACATGTCAGTGGTTTACATGTCAATGGTTTACATGTCAGTGGTTTACATGTCAATGGTTTACATGTCAGTGGGTTACATGTCAATGGTTTACTGAGGTTTGCTGCTCTTGGCATGTCTTGTGCCACCATGTGTTGTATTCTTGTATTTTGGATGGTCCTGAATTTTTGGTTTCCTGCCATTTCTCGCGTTTCTCCAGGTGCTACACGAGACATCGGGTCGGCGCTGACGCGGATGTGCATGCGGCACCGCAGCATCGAAGCCAAGCTGCGTCATTTCACAAAGTAAGTCACCCAGCCGCCGCTCCCCTACCCTCACTCTGCCTCTGCTCACCCTGCTTCAAATCCCAGGGTTGGCAGAGTGATTTCAATGTTGGGCACTTAAGCGAGACCCTTAAACCCAGCTGGTCCAGGGTCTGACTGACGCTGCTATCTCAAAAGTATATTTCGCTTTGGATAAAAGCATCTACTCAATAAATGAAGTGTAAATCCAATATCACAGACTTAATGTAACTGTAAATTGCTCTCCTTTTTCCGTCTGACTTTTACTCTTAATATTATGTTTTATGAACTCCCATGTTTATATGGAAAAGTTAGGTGTGATCCGTTCCTTTGGCTCTCTAGTACTGTTAGCTTGGTGCTACATGGTAAATAATGCCATTCTGTACTGTCCAGGAATCTGCCTTTACAATATAAAGCCAAATGAGACTTATGAGTCACTCTTGAGGACTCTCTCCAGTTAATGGAATGATAAAACATCACGCGAGTGATATTCAGTAATAGCGCACTGTGTGGTGCCCCTTCATGTACTCAAACGTCTTAACAGACTCGGGAAGGCGGAGTTCAGCGTCTGAAGGCTTGCACTGGAGGTTAACATTCAGGCTGATGTTTGGAAAATCAGTCTCTTCTCTCAGAGATCTGGGGTTTTAACCAATATAATATCATGCTTTAGAGGCCCAAAGTGTATCGTCTCACCTCAGGCTACAATGAACCCCCCCCTGTGCTTTTTTGGAATAGGATAATGATGTTTTCTGTTCATAAACAGCTTTCGCCCACTGCCCCTCCCCCAAATACCCCAGATTCTGTTGACACAATCTACCTCCAACCAATGAGATTCTTCCTTTTGTTGCACTAAAACCTGGCATATAGGACAGAGTATCTACCTCCTACTATTACTTATCCACTCCTTTGCAATATTTGCATCATGTTTACATTGCACTGTGTTTACATATTTATTAGGGACTCAAACACCAACAGCGCTGGACCACCATTATAATTCTAATCATATTAACTGTCTCACTGTAAGCACCTTCATTTGTATTTGTGGTCTATGTGTTGTGTTTGTGTTTGTCAGTGGCTGGAAGCACATGTAGAGTAAGATTTTCATTTCTCAGTTGAACTGACTGTTTACTGTGGCAATAGTTTCTTGCATCTTCAGGTACCCACAAAGGGCTGTAAGGGTTAAGCTGGTGCTGTGATATGCGTCTGTCAGACGATGTCAGCTGTCTGCCTATATATATGCGGACAGACGCAAAGAGAGCGAGGGACCCATGAGGTCTTAATGCCTTCGCCAAACCCCACCCCCATGGTACGGACATCTGTCTGCAGGATCGTGGGGTGTGATAAAGTAAAACTGATGTAAAACTGTGGTGAGAGTTTTTTGTGGAATTTTTATTTGCTGGGACATGGGGGTCTGTAATGACGGCCCTCTGCAAATGGCTGTCTGCATGTTTACTGTAATCTCTACCACAAAAACTTGAGGAGGCAGGGGGGTCGCAGTGAGCTCATTTTGACTTAGAATAAGCAACGTTCTTCCCCGCAACCTCCTGGTGTTCACGGGAGAGCAGCATAATTAGGCATAAACCTCTATTTTATATGGTCTTGTGTGGCCAAACTGCCTGTTAAGATCAGCATGACTTTCTTAATGACAGGCAGAGGCTGACTCAGGATTAAAAATGATTCATAGATCCAAAAAAGCGCATTTGGATGAAGTACGAAGTCTGTGCGTCCTTTAATTTTTCCAATTCTGCATTTAGACAGAAACACATGACGTTAATTCCGCAGTCTCCTCTCCGAGCTTCGCTGTCTATCAGCCTGTGATGTTCTTATTCACATTCCATGACCTGAGCCACACATTAAGCCAACGGCTAAGTAGAAATCGATACTTTTTCCGTAAAAACCTTACATAACGATGTTACCCACCAGATAAATGGCCACATATCGCTATCGTTTCTCTGCTCTCCTCATAGGTTGCTGAGAAGCAGAGTGAAAGAAGTTTGAAAAATGGTTTGGATTCGCAGTTGACAGCTTCCTCCAGAAAGGCTTTTATCCATTTTTAGAGCCAGTATTTTTACCGAGGAAGCTGAGGCTTTAGTACCTTGCTCAGCCACACAACTCATACTGATGGTGGATTCTGTAACCTTAAAGTCACAAGCTCCTGTCCTTAACCATCCCACTGCGCTCCCCTGTTGTCCAACGAGGCCCTCTGCTGTCGATGGTTGGCATCATGCTCTGGCACTGCGTTTGTGTCGAGTCAGTGTCAGGCTGTTCTGAAAGAAGGTACGCTACCGGTGTGTAAAATGACATCCTGCACCGTATAGTCTGCGAGTGGAAACATCACATCTCCATCCTGTGGAAAACATCTGCTGAGTCTCCGAGTGACTAACCCAGCCTTTTAGGCTCTCTGCTTCTCTCTGTTGTGTCTGCAGGACAATGTAGGGATTTAAAGGGGGATTTTAATAAAACAACACAAAGTGCACCCTATTGTCCGTAAGTGACACACTCTGGGGTGGGATTAAGCCTTTCCCAGATGAAAAACATTTTAGCAGTACTGGGACATGGCTAGACCTGACCTCTCCCCCAGGCCAACCTTTCATCCCTTCCACCTCCAGTGAGCTAATGGCTGCTATCTTTTCTCATATAATCTTTGGTTATTTGCTGTGTCATTGGGCTCTGACTAATCCCTGACTGTCACACTGTTCTGATTCCGTAGCTCCGCCCACTTCTTGTTAACTGGAGTCACATGACTCATCCTCTGCATTATTATTGGGTCCTCTCGTGCGTGGTTTGCTTTACCTGCTGCATCTGACTGACAGCTTAATTGTAGCTGAGGATTATCTGATTACAAGTTTCACCATTTCATTTTGGGATCCAGTGTTTCATTTTCCCAAAGAAAAACTTTTTTTTTAATTTCCAAAAAAATCTGACTTTTGCATATATGTTTCTTACTTAACGTTATATGCTTAACAGTCAGTTGAAAGTGAATAAACACGAATGCAAAAATAGTAACGCGCCTGTTCTTACCTTCAGTTTTCTGTACCCATCTCACTGCCCCAACATTTCCAGTGCCTTGATGGAGAGTCTTATCACCCCCCTGCAAGACCGCATTGAAGAGTGGAAGAAGACAGCCAACCAGATGGACAAAGATCATGCCAAGGGTGAGACATGGCGCCCCCCTCAGCTCCAGCCTGGAAATGCGGCCCTGTGCCACTCCGTGCTGCCCACCTTCCCGGCTCTGACTCCACTCACCTCCATGCCTGTACTCTCCCCCTTCCTCAGAGTACAAGAGATCCCGTCATGAGATCAAGAAGAAGTCCTCCGACACGCTGAAGTTACAGAAGAAGGCCAGGAAAGGTAGGGACGCCGCCTGGGTCTGGCACATGCTACAGGCCCCAGGGCACTCTCAGGCCCCAGGGCACTCTCAGGCCCCAGGGCACTCTCAGGCCCCAGGACACTCTCAGATCCCAGGGCACTCTCAGGCCCCATGGCACTCTCAGGCCCCAGGACACTCTCAGACCCCAGGACACTCTCAGACCCCAGGACACTCTCAGGCCCCAGGGCACTCTCAAGCCCCATGGCACTCTCAGGCCCCAGGACACTCTCAGACCCCAGGACACTCTCAGACCCCAGGGCACTCTTAGACCCCAGGACACTCTCAGACCCCAGGGCACTCTCAGGCCCCATGGCACTCTCAGGCCCCATGGCACTCTCAGGCCCCAGGGCACTCTCAGACCCCAGGGCACTCTCAGGCCCCATGGTACTCTCAGGCCCCAGGACACTCTCAGACCCCATGGCACTCTCAGACCCCAGGGCACTCTCAGGCCCCAGGGCACTCTCAGGCCCCAGGGCACTCTCAGGCCCCAGGGCACTCTCAGGCCCCAGGGCACTCTCTCACCGTCTGCCCAGATCTGAAAAGCCGTTCCCTACTCACATGACACACCTTTGCTGAGGCTGCATCTTCCCAATGGATTATTTACATAGTCCACAGCAAAATTGAGCAAATTAGCAACTGCCTTTTATTTTTTAGCTGTACCCTCATGGAGAAAAGTTATTTTGTTTGCTTTTCTGAAATGACAAATACAAAACAATGCAGTTCTGAAAACAGTGCCATTTTTATCAATTTCACATCATGTAGCCTGTTGAGACGGTGCAACAGGCGTCGGCCGTAATTCCCCATGAGTCTGTCTGTGTGACAGTTTGGGTCTAGCCAGCATGGCCTTTCCATGACCTTAATGTCCCGCCCAGGAGAGAGTGTTGCAGACAGTCCTGGAATAATCACAAGGGAGATGCACAGTGTGATGAGAACTTGCTCTGCAGTGAAACACTGCCCCCTAGTGGTCACAAAATACATGCATGGCATGCCATTTTAATTGTGGACTAACTTTCTCTTGAAACAAAACTTTGAAAGTATTTGTCTCTTTACATTTTGAGCCATTTACGTATTTCAGAATTAGCTTGTGCAATGTCTACTTGTGCTAAATCCTATATAATGTTGAACTCTACGTAGCACTTTCTATAGTTCTGCTGGAGACGTACATGAGTCCATTGGGCCTAGTTAGTCTTGCCTTGCCTGGGTTCACTGTGCCTTTGATAGTCATCTTTATCCAAACATTTACCATTTACCATTTACCATTTGGAGTATGGTGCATATATAAGAATATATTGATTAGTAGAACCTGTGGCCGCTGTACGTACAGACTCCTGTTGCTCTGTTTGTAAGTCCTCATGCCGTCGTGTAATCATGATGACAGCAGATATCTTCCCTCAGCCCTCCGTCTTGCTGTTTACTTCAATGAGGTTATTTCGGCTAAGATTGTGAATCAGCGTGATGTGACTTCTGCTCTCGGTTTGCTACTAATGGTTGAGAAATGTGCAAAAGCCACTGTGCCAATCCTAACACAAGGCCTTGTGTATGCTCTCTCTCTCTCTCTCTCTCTCTCTCCCCCCCC